ATGGTCTAGACTCTATGCTAAGTAGGTATATAGCCAAAAATATATTCTAGGTCTATCTTTTGTAACCTTTATTGCATTAACTGGGTAAATAACCTCTGCAGCTCTGTGCACAGACCTCTCACATAGTTCAAAGTCTACATAATAAGTAGAGATGAAACGGATAGTCGTTTGGCCGGATACCGGATACCGGATATCCGGCCAGCTGCTAGGCCGGATAGCCGGATATCCGGCGGCCGGATAGTTGGCCCATTGTCTCATTGCATGTCGTGACGAGTTTAGCGCCGCACAGGTGATTCGAACGCGATCAGTAGTGGAACGCGACTAGACTAGTCACACTTTTCGAAAATCGAATCAGTCCGAATAGAATGTCAGATTTTGCCACTTGTCTAGGGGGCAGATCAATTCGGGCGATTTCGGTTGCCATAGTGAGTGTGTGATTGAATAGCGAAAATTAAATTAGGTTACTTTCTGCGTAATCTGACTGAACTGCATCATGGCATCTGGTCGCGCCCCACGGACTCAGCGTCTCCCAGGATGGTGGGGGCACGAGTGGGGGCTACGGTATATATGTATAAACGTTTGCGCGCCTCGCGGGGCCCTTCTTTGCTCACGAATCCATACTGTCGCGGTTTCTACTTCCATTGCTCTGTACCTACTTAAATATTTAATAGTAAACCTGTTATCCACCAGTCTACTTAAGTTGTTACTTATTCAAGAAACTTAGAAGTCCTTACACACACATACACTTTTGCTGAACTATTGATCAGCATCAGACCATCAGTGAAAAAAGATCCCCTATTTTATTTGGCAATATTTCGACATTAACAGATATTTACTATTAAATTATGTATTCGTCATTAGAGTGAATAGCCCAGAAAAAGAAATTAATTAAATTTTTAAAAGGCCTTAATATGGCTTTTTTGTACCTTTGAATAAAAGCCGTCATTATTATAAGCCATTTTAATGATGTTTACCTCAAAGATTAATGTATTTCATTTTATTAATAGGAAATTGTCGTAGTTTTTTAATATCCGGTATCCGGCCGGATAGTGAGTTAATATCCGGTATCCGGCCGGATAGTAAATTTAGGCCGGATATCCGGCCTACCGGATAGTTACCGGATATCCGTTTCATCTCTAATAATAAGGCTCAATATATCTGACTGAAAGCATAAAGAATTAAAGATGTTCTGCGAAACACAGTATATCGGTAAAACTAACACATAATATACCTACAGAAGTAATAAGTGCAAGTTCTACTATTTTAAGCTAGGGTTCTCTTGTCTTCACTAGTTCTTTCTAGGTATTCTGCAATCTACTCTACTCGTACATCTGATGACATCTGACGGCATTAACCACTAGAACATTTATAGATCGCGCAATTGTCGGCCCATTTGAGACTAGCGTGGGAGACTTTTTGTCTGCCTATTCCTTCCTTTTCTATTTTTAGCCTGTGACACAACGGCTACAAACGGGTTACTTGCCAAAAAACTCTTGTCACTGTTCGCTCAGTCGTTAGGTTAGTTAACTGCCATTGGGAACATCGTGGACGTCAATCTTCATGTATTACATACTCGTAATATGATTAGTTTTATTTTAATTGAAGCATTCTAAATAAAACGCTAAATATATCTAGAAATATTTACCACTTGAAAGCGAAAGGTCATTCAAACAAGAAAAATGTTCACCAGACATGAATTCTTGGTTTACGAATGTATAAAAAGAATACATTTAAAATATGATGCGACCAGCGCTATTATAGAGCTACTACTGCATTACAAAGGCTTTACAAACCTCACAGTTGCATTAACATGTTATGCAAATTAAAGTTTACTAGAGCGTCTCGATTCAGTTCCCTATGATATGGCGATCCCTTACACCGCGGTATAATAATGATGCAACTATTATACAATGTCCGAAGGTAGATCGGAAGGCGAAAGGGAGACAGTCTACTTTCTAAGATGAGTCCTTTCACTGGTCAAGTTCAAAGCGAAACGCATTCTTATATCAGTGTATGAAAGTGTCTTATCGATTGTTGATTAGATGCTCAAATTGGTATTGATAAAAATAAAAACAAACTGCATAAGCGCGGTTCTTAGACAGTCGTATATTTATAATTAATTGCAGATGAAAGTGCTCGTTGAACATCAAGTTGAATAAGGTCTTGGAGCAAATGGTAGTAATTTAAAAATGTATATAGCATACAAACTCTTGCTTAGGCATTATAGACACATGTATGCTATGCGGCGTGTCTCAGTTTTAACCTCTAGTAAAAAGATTCAATTGGTTTGTTTACCGGGCGATGCATTGCAATTTTTGACCGCAGTATTATTAGATCAAGACGCAATTGAGATGTTTTCGACTTTAGTATTATTCACCATACCCATAACATCTATCTTTTAGGTACTTAGGTAATATTTAGACTCTTTCTGCCAAGACAAGGTGATCGTCCTATCTATAAACAAAGTTCGTAAAGAAAAGCATTGGGAAATAATTTACCAGTTCTGTCCAGCAGATACTGGTAGACTGATGCCTGTTTTCTCTTTCCCTAACATTCCCACATAATTGGTTTGCACGTGAGAAAAACTATCATGTATTGTATTGCAGTTGCCGTAGAAAAAGTATAATAGAGGTGTCATCGAATCACCTGTGCTAGTGATTTCTCACCGATACAATTGTTTGCCCGCATTTTGACGTGCGCACGCGACCTTAGTAGGTACTTTGCATACATTAAACATAAATTTAGCTTTTTATTATTTAGCTATGATAATTCAACTTGCAATGATCATAAAACAAAGGCACTACTGTTTATGCATTTAAATTCTCGATTCAATGCAACTTTGAAGAAAAGGATATAAATAAAGACGTATAATGAGATCTGTGTTTTTTCAAGAGATTGTGTTTAAAAGCAAATAGAATATGAAAACAACATCTGCTTATCGTTTGCTGTAACTGCAGTATTAGCGAGTTTTAGTAAACATATAAAATAATTTCAAAAATATCTAAATATAGCTCAGTGAACCCTATTTTATTTGTTTGTTCAACTGAAAAATGGGTCAGCGGATATGTCCATCCGTCGGTAATGATGGCATTTCCCAATTAATATAACTCGTGTCCAGCGGTTTGGAAATACGTGGTTTATATGAGTCCGATCCGAATCCGAGGTCGATTATAGCTTATTTTGTTATACGGGATTCAAACCCTCCACATTTAGGTGGTTTTCGCCACTATGCTAGAGGACTGTAAATTTTCCTGTATGAGTGCATTGACCATCATCATCATTTCACCGTAGGACGTCCACAGCTGAAGCTGAAGATAAGCCTCCCCCAATGACGACGAGTGCATTACGCATTCTCAATTCGATATCATGAGCTCAAAGACAATAGCCCCTTAAGCTAATTCCATTGCGTAAGTGCAGTCATGTCATAAATAATACGTAATCGATATGTTGTTACTATGAATTTTCAATATAATTATTTTTCAATTTAAAAAAAAACGGGCTACTTTGCATCAGACAGTCTATTACAATGTCTTCAAAACTTTGATTTGATATGTTTTTGTCAGAGCAATGCAATGTAGAGCCATAAAGTGACGTTATCGAAACCAAATCAGCTGTAAAGTGCACTCAACTGTTGCTAGATTTATGGGTTTGTTTTACAAGTATGATAAAAACTAAATTATTGCAAGCATTTACGTATATTATTTTATTGTTCAGTGCCTTCCCATTTGATTGTAATGCAACAATCTCTAGGATGCCTGGAAGGAGTTATTATCTGTCTTAAAAAAATCACTTAAGTATTAATTAAAACATCTATAACATTTGATCTTAGCATTAAAGAGCTTTTTAAAAGCCAACTTACAATGAATGAATTTGATTACCTACTGTGAATCAATTTCCAAGACCTTTACACACTTTACAAAGCCTTTTCTTTAAACATGTACGCTTGGTCGTGGTGACATTGAATATTATCGCGAAGTTCATCAGTTATCATCTCTGTAGTAGGTAACGAAGATTATAATCGTGCTTTAAACCTATTCTCGTAAACCATAACCAAAAGTCATAAAGCAAGTTGGATATTATGATAATGCGCATCTGGCAGAGTGTGTTACATGAGAGATGTTCTTAACGAGTTAGTTAATCTTAACTTACGTGTGGTGTTACTTACTTAAAATATTCGGCCCTGACTGACTGATTGTTTCAGAAAAAAACTTAGAAAACTGAAACTTGGATCCTTACGAGTACCTAGTTGTGTCTCGTTTATTTTATACGATTTTTGCTAAACTTTAAGAAGGGACATTAGAGAAACTGTGTAAAAATCCTTAAATCATTGCCTACTGAAAGTGTTGATCATAAGAAAAGCTTGAGATTTTCTAGATATTCGTATTATGTGGGGTTGAAAATGGGCGAGGGATTAATGTATGGGATATCTTAAAAGTAGGAACATCAGGTGAGATACAGGCCAAGAGCTTCCTCGTTGTGGATAAAAAAAACCAAAAGAAAACTCCATAAAACATGACAAAATGCGAGCAGAGCCGCCGACAGCAGCTAGTGTGAAATAGAGATGGTGCGTTTATGATCAGTGTGTAAATTACATGCGAATTTCCAGAAGTTTTATGGCAAGACAATTCCCGTGATAAACAGACGTGTGTACGAACAGCAAAAAGTGCGTAATTTAAGAAACATGACGTTTGTTGTTCATAGGAACATTTTTACAAGCGTTTTACTGCATCTTCAAATAAATATTCTTACTCATGCATTAATATACCCTTCGTTTGAAGACAGCTTTTCGTACATCATCCAAGAATAAAGAAGAATAGTATAGAAAGTTTCAGCGATGTTCATAGAATTAAGAAGAACAATAGAGTGGTTTAGCAATTGTGCCCAGTATAATTGTGCCCATAATCTATAGGATATTTATTGTAATGTGCTTGGAGAAAGTGACCATAATCGGTTGCATTCTAGAGTGCATGTGCCAAGGCCTTGAGGCATGCGGCACTTACCGAAAAACTTTTGGAATTTGTTCTTGGGCTTGGGTTTGGGCTCGGAGGCTGGCGCGGCATTGCCCGCTTCTACATCTGCAATGATACTTACATGTAATAAATATACAATACATAGTTACCTATACAAAGTCGAAAATATTTACTTAAAATATTATGTATAACTAGCTGTGCCCGCGACTTCGTACGCGTGAAAACCCGTTTTCGCAACATTTTTCATTGTTGCTCTATTCCTATTGATCATAGCGTGATGTTGTATAACCTATAGCCTTCCTCGATAAATGGGCTATCTAACACTGAAAGAATTTTTCAAATCGGACAAGTAGTTCCGGAGATTAGCGCGTTCAAGTAAACAAACAAACAAACAAACTCTTCAGCTTTATAATATTAGTATAGATAAGTTATATCACTAGATCTTTCCTTAACTCAATTACACTTTCTTCCGAGAAAAGAAAGCAGCTTTTATTCACTTATTTCTTTAGTCTTTAATTTACAACCGATTTCGTTTCAGCCAAATGACGTCCTCTGTCGGACAAAGGCCTCTTCCTAGGGATTCCACAACGACTGGTCCCGCGCTGCTCGCATCCAGGAAATTCCCGCGACTATTTCCCGCAATCAATTTATTGCCACAAAATTCCTTAATTGCTTTTGAACTTTCTATTTAGATAAATAATTTCTATTTAGATATCCGCCCATAACGCCCCCTGTTGCGCGCCTTCTTGACTGGTAGCCTCAATATGGTCCCGGTCAAGAGGGCGCGCAATCCGCAATCTTCATCGTGTTGGTTCCCGCTGAAAACCAGCTTCTCGACATGGCGCTTGTTATGTCGCGAATATAGCTGAGCGGACGCCTCTTCAGCATAGCTTGTAGTTTAATGTTTAATGTTATATGTACGGTATTTTTATTTTATTTTTCTATGCTGAATAAAGTATTCTTTTTCTTATTCTATATAATTTAAAATAAATGAAATTACATGGGAAAATGTCGTTGTTTTTGGGTATTTTGATGCTATCGGCCATTATAGCTATCGGCCACCAACCGGCCATTGTAGAAATCATTGCGGGAGGCCTATGTTCAGCATTGGACGTCTTATGGCTGGAAATGATGATGATGATGCTATCGACTTTACGACATAATGATTACGTGTGCTATTACTGAAATACTGTAAAAAGACGTTCGTCATAATATTTTTTATATTACGTAGTAATATTGAAGATCGATTAAATCTATCATAACGCACCTAACGTACACTTGTTTTGTACTTTATTGATGTAAAAAAATAGTTTTGTCTTCCATTACCAGTTTGTCTAAATCTGGTTTGGTTGCATTTAATAAATATGTTTTATCTTTACAATATGTAGTATTAACATTAATTTAATTATTATCAATTGCGATCAAAGTCTGATAGCAAAATAGATATCAGAATAATTATTTTAGCGATAATAAACGACTGCAAGACATACCAGCCTGCATATTTTGTTCGCATAATATACTTTGATCACTGATACGCTTTTTTTGATCTGTGAACCGTTCTTAACTCTTGGCCATAAGCTTCAAAGTCCCACAGCAAAGAGTTTAAACATCCTTCTGTCCAATATTTCATTCAACTTACCCCGTTATTATTTATGTCGACGATGTGTTTAAAGTCTGCGCGATATAAATTATTTTCACGGTTGCTAATCAATATCAGCATAACACTTATTTTGAAATATGGTTAATATAGTATGAAAAGAAATCGATAAGACTTTTTTTGATATTAAACACTTATCAAAAATATAATATGATAAAAAATGGACCTGCCTTTATACCTGACATAAAATATATGTATCAAAACGCAACAATTAACCTAGAAATTAGCACGGCACTAAAGAAATATATTCAAAACTGCCACGCGGTCTCGTGCTAGATGGGCGTCTTAAAGGCCACCACCAGGCTTCTATCAACGGGAGCGCGTGGTAAGTAACTTGCTTCTGAATGTATGTAACTTCCTACATTTTTATATTTTTTATATTTTTAAGCCGGCAGACAGTGGTGACTGAGTTTGTTGCGGCGCTTCTTCTCAGCACTTGCCAAATGTTTGTCTCGAAGCGCTGGTAGGGCAAAAAAAGAATGAGACATGTATAGGCGAGCTTCTCTTCTCCTTAAGAGCATTTGACGATTTGCAAGAACTAATTTAATTAGTCTAAACAAATAAAGATAATTTTGATTTTGAGTGGTACATTCGCCATAATTATAAAATTCATTTCGCTATGCGTTAGCGCTACATATACTTGCAAGACATTGGATAGTTATTCGATTTATTGGACGTTAATAAAATTAAAAAATAAAATCATCAGAATACAGCAGTACATTGCTGGACACAAGCTTTCCCTAATTCGTGCTATTTTGCCCTGTCTTCTGCCAGTGGCGACTTTAGTCTCTCTACTTACAATTAATTCGAGGGTGTCCTCTACGCTGGCCCAGTCCAAACAATAATTCTAATGAATGTGACATTCTAGACATCTTGAGGCGCTTAATTGACTTTCAACAGAATGACGAAAACAATCTTTTAAAATCCTACTATATACGTTTTATATGCAAAGCTTTGTATGGTGTTCAATTGGCCTGTCAAAACCTCCGTACATAAATATCTCACTATCACTCTCTAGTGATAAACGACTCACAGCTCAGTGAATAAAACATATTTTGCCGCAAAAAATGTCTAGCCATTCGCAACGCTATTTTTAGTTAGACGGTCACGTATAAGCTTTGTTTTCGAAACAAAAAACATTTTAAAACTATCTTGATCGTGCAAAAACAATGTTTACCAAAACAACGAACGTTTTTACACCTCTTAATAATGATTAAAATACAGTTTAAAGCCGAATTCTTTTCGGTTTTTAAACATAATTGTTGTCAGTTCGTTAAAATGATTGGTTTTTTCTTATTTCACATGCCTTCTGGTAAAAAATAATATCAAAAGTATTCATTCTATTTTGGACCATCTTTGGGTTTCCGCAATTATACCAATGATGATTATAATGGTATTAAATCTGGCTGTGTTCCATGGAAAGCGATATTTTTAGTATAGATATCACGTAATAATATTTTCATTCGGCAATAAAATATAGAGTAAATAATGCATGCTCGCATGATGAAAATATGACTCAACAACATTCAAATAGATGCTACATCATGACTGTATGAAGTAGTTTTCCATTGTATACTATATTTCGTATAAAGTATAGCTTAACATACTTTACAGGCTTTACGTTACCTATCAATTTTCAACTAGAAACTACGTGGTCTTAAAAAATTCATTAGATTTTTTCTGCACTGTATTTAGCACTATTTACTTTGAGGAAACGTGTGGTTAAGTTTATACATAATGCCTACTTAGGTCAGACAATAACGATAATGATATTGATGAAAAAATATAATCGAAAAGTTATCGTTTTTATAATAACTTCGATTTGTATTTATGTTCAGTGATTTAAAAAAGTAAATTGACTTATCTTTTAAATAAATATATATGTACAGACATCTCATTCGCGGAATATATTGATTGAAATTTAATGGCTTTCTTTATTGTTTCATTCCCAAATGGAATACAGTTACGCATTTTAGTTTATTTGCACTTTGTTTAACCTTTAACTAACCACTTGTTCAATCAGACGTTTCGTTCTTCCGCACAAACAACTATTGAACAAATTGGTTTCTCTTTCGTCATATGAATATGACCTGTAATCTTCTTGGCGATACGACACTTTGATTAGCGTCGTTCGCGATTGTAACGCATTCCTAAGAATCTGATACGAATGTATTCACGGTATTTTATCTTGCTAATATTAATTGAAAGCTGATTGACACAGTAAAAAAGTAATAGATTAATACGGCGCGATTTATAATAAGTGCGTATATCGCGGAAACTACTATAGCTAGGATCAATAGTTTGAACAATAAACTTAAACAAAGCACATTAAGGCCGAGTTGCACCACCTCATTTTAACCGTAACAACCGGTGCTTTTTGTATGGAGTTTGACAGATTTTTGAAGTTTGTCAAAGTTCATAAAATGGTGCAACTCAGCCTAAGTCCCAATGGAAAGTTACTTTCATTGAACTCGTGTTGAAATTACTCGTAATTGATCGAAATTCGATGTGTACTTCCAATGCAATTTGAAGATGAAATAATAAAGGCCCTAAAAAGATGTGGAAATAAACAAAGCCTCGACTTCACTGCATTGTTAAAGGCTACTCATATAAACTAATCATTTTGTTATGTTGATACGTATCAACGAAGGTGATGATGAGACGACGATCATTTCATCCGCAAAATGTTTTCGTACAGCAAGGTCATATCCTATTAAAACTGTGGCATCTTGTGGGGATTTAATAGAGGAGATTTTTGGACAAAAATTAGTTGTTGCTGTGGTCTGTACAATACTGTAACTGCTGCATCAGAGCGATCAAAACACGACGATCCTTCCTCGTCTCATTGCCATAAGCCGAAATCTGTCACTATTGTGCTTGCTCACATCATCTGCATTATTGGTAAGCAAGAATTTGATACAGTCCATCTCCTACGAACAAGCAGTCACTCGAGCGAGCATTCTCTAAAATGCCGATAAAAACTCTTTGTTCGCAGAAATTCGCAACGCGATCGCGCGAATTTACATTCGAATTCAAATTCAAAAATTCATTCATAGCATGTTTTGCACGAGGCATGTTACAATACATGCATTATGATAATAGTTATGTTATTAATAGAGTAATTTACGTCAAACGTACTCGTTGTACTAATGAAGATGTTCTTATTAATCTCCTATTAGATCTCTATTATTAATATAAAAAATAAACATTAAAACGCGTCATCTACACGGACTTAATGAAACAATAATGACAACGTGACAATCTCATTAGTGTCGATTCTGTTTCAATAACTATCATATAATACAGTTTATTTCAATACTCAAAGTCAGTTAAAGTAATCACCTACTATTAATTTGGTTCGTAAACCTGATACGATTGTGGAAAGCTATTGTTTTAGGTTGGAAAACGAAAGTAGTGCTGAGTTCTTTAAAACGTGGACATTTCTATTCACAATTTTTTTATAAAATATAGAACTCTAATAATAAAACCCCACAAAATTTTCACAGTTGTTATGACTATAACTTAACAGCCAAGTTTTCCGTTTAGCCAAGATCTGCCAGTTAAATTTGAGGTTTAAAATTGTTCTAAATAGAAATAGATTAAATTAAATTGAATATTGTGTCAAAATCAGCTGTACGTTTAAGTTTCACATTCTGTCAAAGTCCACTTTTGCATGCCGTGGCAGCCTGTAATTAAGATAGCACCTAGTCCTAAGACAAAATTATGTATGTAAACCCCTTTGCTTGAATTTGTGTCTGTCTTGTTGGTTGTCCTAATTAAATAAATAAATAAATAAACAGGAAACTGTATAAAATAGGAAATTAATTATGTGACAACAATACTTGTTATATTACTGGTTTCAATATTTCCCAATTTAAAGACACATTTTCGGTGTAAACAGTGGGTATAATTAACTTTAGGTAATTAAATTATAATTTAAGCCTATACGCACCAAAACATTTTTCAGTATTCTTTTATTGTGATATACTATATCACGCGCAAAATCATCAATTTACAGTCGACTGAAAAACAAATTTGGGTGCAAAATAGAATTCTATTGCAACAACATAAGACGCTACATTGTAGAGCTAAATGTGTTGTCGTCTGTACACGTTAAGCTAATGCACGAGTTTTTAAATCATCGAACCTTATCGACCGATAATGTGGATTATGCACCAGGAATTTAGATTATTATGTCATTATTATGAGCCCGCATGAGGTACATTCCTGAAGATAACCAGGTCAAGCCTACATACAGTGGAAAAGACAATCCTCCTTCGTGAAAATTTATAAAATAAAAGAACGCACGCGTCACACGGGACTATTACCATCACTGCCACTGGCTTCTGGCTTGGCCAGGATCTATAGGGTGTCACTGACAGTCAATAAAAGTTAAACCAAGGAGGGTCAAAGTCCCAGTGAAAAGTAAAACTGGACATATGAACCGCAAATTATCTACAAGTAACCACTGCTGACGTTGTTGTCTGGACACTAACTACGAGAATATTGGCAGTCATTATTGAAAGATATCTTAAAATTGATCTTGAACTCTACCTATGAAAGATCTTCTTTCACAACGTAAACAAAAACTCACATACCATTTAACCAATGCAATTAGACCACATGAACTCGTTACTTAACTCGTTTTTGTAATAATTAACTAATTCGTTTTATACGCTAAAATTGCTACCCACAATACCATACCATAGAGTTAATTAAATAATTGCCACTGTGTGTACAGGCGACAGCACATCATGCTTTACATATTTTGTTCCAAAGTCGATCGTATTACAAGTAAATAAGATGCACAAAGCTGTAGCTTGAAGTGCCATCCATCCGTACCGCACGATATCACAAAGCTATTTTTAGAGCGTAACAATGTCAAAACATACGTGAAACGAAAATTATTATGTCTTCCATTGTAAAATGAGTATCAAACTCAAATAAAACACTGTTGCATTTTATGTAGCTATACCTTTTTATTTATTAAATTTTTTAACACATATTGTGTGTCTGTACTAAATGTATGGAAGCTGGATATTTCGGATGATCCGGTTTATTCTGTAACCCATTATTGATATCGTTTGATAGAGCTCGTGAAGCACTTTCAGGATTAGTAACCAGTTTTTCGATATCTTTCTACGATTTCGATATCGTTTCCACCCTGTAGTGATGATAGTTATAAATATTATTATACCTACCTAAAGTAATTTAGCTGTTCAGTTAATCTAATAAATTTTGACACGTTCTACTGTTTTCAGAATGATTGTATCGTATTTGTTACTTACTACACACAAGGAAACTTCCTGTACATAACTGAATATTATTAAGCTTGTTATTTTATCATCAAAAATACTTTAACACCAAAAAAATGTCTGTCGTCCTAGTTAATGTACCAATTAATTCAATTTGGTGAGTCTCACATTTTCACCAATTTGGTTTAATTAGGACACGCTTTATTAAGGCTGAGTGCACCATCTTACTTTAACTTTGACAAACGTCAAAAATCTGTCAAACTCCTTACAAAAAATACCGGTTATAGTTAGGTGGTGCGGTTACGGTCAAAGTTAGGTGGTGCAACTCAGCCTAAGTCAACGCTGAAATATATTACTTCACGAAACATAAAATATTTTGGTGCTTAGGTTGTTATTAAAGACAAGTTATAAGTATTCCAAATCGTAAATCATGTTTACCATTTCCTGATATCTAATCTAAGCGACTGTTAAAAATAATCCTACTGTAATAAACTAGTTGATAATTCTTTTTCTAACGTCTAATTATAATCGTTCATTAGGGTATTAACCTGATAATTGAAAGTAATAGATACTTTATTAATTATCACATATTCCTTATATTATCTTAATGGTTAGACGGCGATCGATGATACGCCTCACCTATTTCTTCTTATCAAAATTATTTTTACAGCCAAAACCAACAATCACTGCTTGGATCTAAACACAATAGCAGTGGCTGAAAAGAATCCCATTGTTATCGTATCAAAAAACTTTGATAAAATAACTCACTTTTTATGTATAACCTTGATAATGAAAACTTTTTGCAGTCATGTTTGAAAAATCAGATTAATTCAAGCCTGAAATGTTATTTTAATGCTAACCAAATAGGGAGTTACAAATATACAGGGTGGTTTTACACTTAAGTATGTCCCAACTGGAGATTAAACCCCGAAAGTCGATAAGAGGCTGGGTTGCACCATCTTACTTTAACTTTGACAAACGTCAGAAATCTGTCAAACTCCATACAAAAAACGCCGGTCATCGTTATAGTTACGGTCAAAGTTAGGTGGTGCAACTCAGCCTTACTCTTTTAACACTGAACACTTTTTGAACTCAGCTTTTTGATAAGGTGGTAACTGAATCAACAGATAAATATTGAATGAGTACCAGTTATACTAGGTACGATTGACTTTATACATATTGATGTCTATCAAACTTTTCATTAATGTAAGTAAACAATAACATTAATAGTTCATTACCACTGGAAAGACACTTGTTGTTGTCAATCAACGAACAGTATTCATCGCAATTAAAACACTGAGCTCTATTATTTTTATCAATTAATTTAGTAATGAAGTGTTTACGTCGAATATATCAAGTAATTTTCTTATGTAATAATTTCTTAGTGACAGTCGCAAGTCACAATACTCACAATGCATGTTAGTGTTAGGTGCAAGTTATGTAATTGCCTGTCTTTTCAAAATAATGTTTTTGATTGCATTTGTAGTCATAATAATTCTTATTTGTTGAAAATGAGACAATTATTTTTTTTGTTTGCAACTTTTATCACAGAAATGGATGATCAATTTTTTTTTATTTAATTTTAGCTAGTAAATGGAAATAAAATATAACTTGAAGACATATTAATGAAATTAATTCAGTTTCAGGAATAAGGAGCTCATAAATCTGAAGGCTTCTGATGGACCTATTTATTTTCGCTGTTGGCCTTTGCATAATATTCACCCACGACCGTGAGAAAGGAAGCATATTTATTTACTATTTTCATTTATACCTACTGATAGGTACAAGCAATATTTAAGTTTATCTTAAGATAAAGATCTCTTAGCTTCTGTTTGCGGAGGTCAGTTTGTGCTAGATAGCACCGCAAATATTGGACAAATATGACGCAAGACACATTTTTGCATGGAGAATGGAGAGGCATTTCTTTTATTATTAAACTAGCTTTCCGCCCGCGGCTTCGCCCGCGTGGAACTTTATCGCGCGCGTCCCTGTTTAAAAAACAGGGATAAAAACTATCCTATGTCCTTTCCTGGGACTCAAACTATCTCTATGCCAAAATTCATCAAAATCGGTTCAGTGGTTTAGGCGTGAAAGCAAGACAGACAGACAGACAGAGTTACTTTCACATTTATAATATTAGTATAGATAGTATAGAATAATAGGGTATAGATTAATTAAAAGCGAGAGTGAATAGGCATTTACAGGGCAGATATGTACTAAGACCGCATCTCACTTAACACCAGGTGCGATTGCGGTCAAATACCTGCCTTGTTATGCATAAAAAAAACATAATAATATAAGTCAACATAGTATTATATTTTAGGTTGAAATAGTTATAAATGTGATATTGGATACACTTGATATATCAGGCACGTAGTGAAGTATATTTGGCGAAAATAGCTACTTATGTGATATCGATACATTTGATAATATCAGGTATGTTGGACCTTTTTATTACCTAAACACCCCCACCACTTCCAGTCAATTGCTGATTTTGAGGAGATTTAAAGATACCAAACTGTTTTCTTAACTTATCTTATAGGATAACAATAATAATATTTTTTGTGTATTTTACTGGTTTCATAAATATTATAAGAATTCTTGGAATTTGCTAGCCATGGACTAAATAGATAGATATTTATTGAATAATGAATTCTATGCCTGAAGATCCTAAGTTTGTTTATTGTTTAATCCTGCCGATTTTTTATTTACTATCTCCTTGTTATCAATCACACCTCAACGCCAAAAAATTGCTTAATGATAAAAATACAATTAAGATATGCCGGCTGATGTTGTAATCAAATTTAATTAATCTACTACAAGTAATTCGAGCTACAGTGCACCGTTTTTGACGTTTATTATCGTAATTAATATTAATTTTAAAATTTACTCTATTATTTCCAACAATAATATAGTATTTTATTCATAGTTATACTATTAATATAAATGAAAATGTATAAAATTTAAATAATATTAATACCTCAGTGACACAAATTATCATTAGAAAAAGTAACATAATAGTATGAAATAACTTCCACATTGCATTAATATTACGGGTATTATATTATTCGTAATGTAAGAAAAAAATTAAACACTCACTTGCGTTTTTAGTTGCCATATTTCTTCAGGAAATAACTCGACACTAAAACTCGGCACCAACTCGATTCGTAACGCGGCCCGCGCGATCGTCTCGTAGACCGGTGCTACGATGCGGGAGCTACGACGTGGCCGCCCTGTTATATAGCCCTAATATTTATCAGAAAGCACTGTTCTTCCAAATTATTTGGCACGTGCACCCCGCGCAATGTCTCAACTAAGAATGCGAGTGTCACTGTTCCAGGACTGGGTGGTGCAGATTACCGTGCCTAATAGTGATGGATGGTGCGCGTAATGTGGGTGCAAGATAACGCGCGGAAGACCGAAGGAGGCCGATGCTGAATGATGTGTTGATTACGACGATGATGTTCGGGGGCGTTTAATCAATTTATACGAGTACAATGCAACAGACCAGGGGTTCCCAAAGTTTGCGCCGCGACGCCCTGGTGCGCCGTACATACATTGTAGATTGAATTTTTGTTTCTATCTACCAAACCTACTACTACTATCAACTATCATTATAGGTGCCTATTTCTTTCGACTATATCTTTTTTAAAGGGTGACAAATACTTTTGTAACTGCCCCGCGGGATGAAAAAGATTGGGAGCCCCTGCAACAGATAGTTCGATGTGAACGTCATAGTGAGCTTGAAAACAGGAAAACTGGTTGTTCATGGTAGTAGGTAGGTATCTAAACATTCAAAATTTCAAAAATTATGTCTGTAATAGCTACAATAGGTAAACTTGTTATCACAAAAACATATCAATCAAAACTATGCACATTGATTGATACGGCAAATGCATGAGTGGTGGCATTTATATTATATTTTATACATAATAAAACTATTGATAACCACCATTTTATGGTTGTTATGAGGAAGAAAGGCCCATGGTAGTTTATTTGCAATTATTTTCATTCAAGAATGCTCTATTAATTACATAATTGCCATGTAGAAAATAACTTACGCAATATTTTATGAATTCGACATCGCATCACGAAAATGCTGGCCAATATGCTTGACAATAAATAAAAACTGATTTATCAATATTTATCAGTGACACTTAAAATTATACATAAACTTCTGTTCTAGTACATGCACGTACTACAATAACGATAAAGCTTATCGAATTAAAAGATTATGCTGCACATTTTCGTCAGTAGTTTTATTATGTGCCTATCAGTGAAATGACATGATAATTAATAGCCCCAATTATGTGCTTCTGGTATTTGCTAAAAATTACCTGACCTAGGTTAGATTACCTACTTTATTTTAATTTACAAGATTTTAATACTAAATAAATAGATAGGTAATTCAATTCTATGATTAATGAAACTGCGAAATATATAAATAAAAATAATCGTTAAATGTGTTCCTAAGCAGAAACCTCGGGAATCAACAAAACGGTGATTTACGAATATTCTTGCAAATGTTTTAGTGGTGAATAAAAACTTTTCACAGAAAATCTGCGAAGGTAGAGTAGGAGTTGAGTTTATTTCTCAAGATATAACTGAAGCATGAAGATAAAACTCTGTTTACCTTTACTTTGAGAACGGCGTTCATGAACATTCGTTGTTACATTTTACGATGAATGTGTTAAAGGAAAACAACAGGTAGGTAGGTGCGTATAATAATGAATAATGTATTGTGTTTGTAATGTTTGGAATTTGGGATTTTTATTAGAAAAGAGGTAAATGGACGAATGTGACTGGACTGCTTTCGATAAACTACAAAAGTTGTGCTTTAGAGAGACAGTGTCATTTTACTGTGACTCTTGCAAATTAGTCCACTTTTGCTATACATGCTTCAAAAAGAGTAATAGTGTGTGATTCAAGAAAAGTTTCATACAATAACAAAAGCTCAGAATTTTAAAACAAAATAAAACTAAGTAGGTACCTACATAAAGAAGAAACAATAAGAAAAGTTATTTATTCTCGTTCAACATCTTAGAGAATTGGGCATGGCTACAAACCAGTGTTGCAAGGATCTCTCCTTACAACGTAGACTGAGCCAGGTCCAATTGCCTTCGGTGTACCTTATGTAGTTTCAAGACTCAACTCCCTGTAGGTACCTATGTATAATTATTTATTATTAAATACATTTTTTTTATTTATCACATGCAGTTTAATTATGTATAGGGACATAGATTCAGAATAAAACAGTAGTAACAATGAATGAGGGCTCTCGTTTTAGCGCTCACCAGTTAGCGCCACTGTAGAGTAAGGTCCTGTCACTTGCTAGTAGCGAAGACAGTGGCACCAACTGGTGAGCGCGAAAGTGGTAGGAGGACTATCGCATTTGCACTCATCAAGATGGCGCCACTGTAGAGTAAGGTCCTGTCAATCGCCAGGGGTGCCAACTGTTAAGTATAAAAACGATTGAGCTTCAATTCTTTGAGAATGTTCTAGCCTAGATACCTACTTAATTATTTCGGAGCAGCCAATGATGTAATGCAATGCAAATTTAATTATGGACTTCTATCATCCTAAATGTACCCAATTGAATGTATGCGCCTAATGTAACGAAAGTTCTAGAATGCAATTTTAAAAATTGCAAAAAGCATTTTAATTAGATAATTATCAAGCAAAAAGCCTGAATTTTTTGTCAATCTCAAATTCGGAAATTCCACATAAATGGGGATATGGACGTCATTACCAGCATACCAGCCCCTACTACAAGTACTTAATGAGATAGAATAAAATAAAACTGAATATTCTTAAAGGAAATATACCAATGGGATTGTTTACAAACAAAATAATATTACCTGTAATGAATACCTACTCGTACGACCCTACAGTACCTATTTGAATATGTAATGCCATAATTTTGTTTTAAGCAAGTGGAATGATCACGTATTTAAACGACATATTAATTATAAAGTGTTTACTTTAATTGTCATATTAAAAATGATCGGAAAAAATCAGGACCAATATTTGATTGCAGCAATGTAAAATGTCCAATGTCACTTCATGCCTTAAATAAAATCCAAATTATGAAACGTAACGAAAAACGTTAGTAATGAGTGACTTGCCCAAATCTATTATGTACATTTTTTGTTACTTTGCCGGCAAAAATTCGCTCGCCAAGCAGAGGTGAGATCGCAAAACAGAAATAAAGGGCGGAAGCAATAATTACCGAAACATGCAGTAGGTACTGACAGTTGCTAAGATGTACATAGATACATAGGTATTTATCACCCTTGAGACAAAGCAATACGGTTCAAATCTCTAGAGACGACTCTACATCTGCCGAAGACGCTTATCAAAAATCTACATTCGACGGTATCAAAGTTGTTCTCAAGAAAACAATTGAATATCATGACGCTGCATGCAAATTCGAGCCGATAGTGTTTATTTTCGTTTGCTTCCTATAATTTAATATTAAAAACCTTTTGTGTATAATTGCTAAAGGAATAAACTTTAATTCCGAATGGCAAATTATATTTGTATCGCATAGTCAATGATAACACTAATGAAATATATAGAAGAATAATACAAGTAATGAGTCCAAGCTTATGTATTTTTCTGACGTTTAAAATAAATAATAACTTGGAAGTTTAAAATGGCCAACAATAAATAAAATGCATATCAAGGTATATGTATCTATACAGTGTGTCCGGGCTTGTAGTGATCAAACTTTAAGGGCGTAATCTATGGACAATTTTATCGATGAAAATACTTCAAATTTGGGGCTTGACCCATTTCTCGCAAAATTACGAGGATTGATGAAGGAAGAGGTGAAAACTAAAAATTAAAAACTTAAATCCTTGTAATTTTGCGATAAATGGGTCAAGCCCCAAATTTGAAGTATTTTTATCGATAAAATTGTCCCTAGATTTGGCCCATAAAGTTTGATCACTACATGCCCGGACACACTGTATATCTTCATATCTTCCATGTAGTCTAATGACGTACGCTGGTTGATAGTCAATTCATATTGCTATACTAGAATTTTTGGTCAGTTTATAACCACTCTACCAAAGAAAGATAATTAATAAAAACATTAAATTTTCCACAAAGCTTTGTTATAAAGCTACTTCTTGTTTTATTTAAGATGGGATTTGCATTGTGATACAATGAATATTTATGTGTTTTTACATTACATTGTTATTCATACAGTTAGCGATTAAAGGAGATTTCAAGTTAATGTAATCACATTAATTAACTTCACTTCCTGATCGGCTTACTGATAAATGTAAGTAGGTATTGTCATCGATGAGACTTGCATTTTTAAAAACACATCAAACCTCTTATGTCATTACCGATCTCGGTCCCGAATTCAGCGTAGCCAGAGAGTTTCTCTACTCATGTGGCATAACATGTGGAATCATTGTTTTTTCTAATTCCCTAAATTTCCTTCCACCATCGGCGAACCAGACGCAGGTTAGCGTACCATCCCTATATTGTTGACATTCCACCAGCTCGCACTAAGCGTTTCGATGACTCTTTTATAATGCGAACAGCTAGGAACTGGAATTCGCTGCCTGCTGCTGTCTTTCCCAAAGACTATAATCCGGGCATTTTCAAGGCGAGAGTGAATAGGCACTTACAGGGCAGATATGTACCATCCTAGACTGCATCCCATCAGGTGCGATTGTGGTCAAATAACTGCCTTGTTATGCATAAAAAAAATTGTAATCTAGTTTCGGATCGGCATGCTGACTGAAGTGAAAAAGTTTTATCAAATTAATCCTTGGTGTCTAAATACTTAAGTACATAGTACATATTTCCTGAATAAAAGTGTTTCATCTCTGATCTCATTGACACCCACTAGTATGAAGTCAAATGCGAACCCATTTCTAATGTAAATTTAATAGACCAATAACAGTGGTGTAAACTATTACCACTCTTGCTTTTAGTGACCACGTGGGTGAAATAACTCTAGTGATTCTGATGCCCTCATATCCTCACATTATATTAAGCCATGACACCCACATTCTTTTGAGCAATCACTAACGTAACCTACTCGTAATAGCTTTATTTACTTTGAATTGTATTCAATGGGCATTACGAAAATATTTATTTCATGATTGTTTATCGTGTGCATTCTTTGAAAACTATTGGCAGATGCTATGGGTCGATGTATTTTTCCTCTTATTTTGAGCAAAGGTATACATTTTGTTTTAGTTTCTTAAGCTGAGTTGCACCACTTTGTCCGTAACTTTAACGATAACCAGTGCTTTTTGTATGGAGTTTGACAGATTTTTGACGTTTGTTAAAGTCATATTATTGTTATATAGTTAGTTTAGTAAGTACTCTACTCTTGACACCCAAAAGATCTTTAGCGGGCCTAGAATTTGCGCAGATATAATGAGTCAACTAGGTTTTCCATAAACAACACGTAAACAATGAG